AAATTGTTTACCTGAGCTTTTAATGTCCTTGAAATTGCGCTCATCTTGGGCCATAAGAGTCTGACACTTGAAGTGGGGGGCGGGGGGGAAGTAAGATCAGAAAAATAACCTGACAGCAATGCTCTCTGTTTAAATCTTTGTTTTCTGCTGATTTGTTAGAGACACACTTGGAAAATAGTGGTACATAAAGAAATATAGGGGTTATAATGGACTGAAAATTGGATATGTGCTTACATTGTGGTTTGATGGCAAACACGGTAGATTCAATCAGAGCTTTGCATGCAGAGGCTTCACACAGTAATGAGAGGCTAAAATTTCTCTTTGTATCTGGATTGCCTGTACATTGCTACATTCTGTGCTGGTCATCTTGGTAACAAAACGATGCAGAGAAATTGAGGGGTATTTAGCAGCTTAAAACAAAGGTGATTATAACAGAGGGACAGATTTTATAAGAAAGATTTGAGAGAGAAATGTATTTAAGTTGATTAACAGACTAAACAGAAAACATAGCTGTTTTTATACTTGCTTGAAAGTTAGCATGAGGAGGAAGAGGAATTGATTAGGATGTCACAGGATGTATGACTAGGATAAAAGAGGTGATGTTAAGAAAAGAGAACTTAGGTTGAATATCAGGACAAAAAAAAAAGTGCAAATGCTAACATCTGTCAATCTTGGGAAATTATAGAAGTACCATTAGTTGAGAGATTTTTAAATCTAGGTTGGATGAAATACTGGAAAGGAAATGGTATTGAACAATCCTGGCAGAAGGATGGATTTACGAGTATTGGACCTTTTTTGTCTCCATCTTCTTTGATGAGAGAGAGAGAGAAAGCTGCCCTGCCCAGGAGGTATTTGGAAACCTACACTTTTATGCATAGACTCTTCTGGATTTGTGTAATATAAAGTCTTCTGTGCAAATTTTAGTAGGCTCTTAGGGATTTTATTCTTTAACGGGTTTTGCTGCTTTTCGTTTTTGGTAGGGAGAAGTGTTTTGGCATCTTGTGACAAATGATTCTATTGTCATACTATTTACAAGCAGTACAGTACTCTGAAATTATAAGTATAATGTAAGAATCTTTCAGCATGAAAAAAAATAGATATAATACAAATATGATTAGAAATACCTAAAGCTACCTGTATTTTTCTCATTAATAACTGGGAGCACTATTCAAATGACTGAATTTCATGAGTAAATTTTTTTTAAAGAAATAGTAAAGTAAAATGTGGATTGATAGTCATGTGTGCAGTCCCCTAGTTTTTTTTTATTTACTTTTGAAATTTCAGATAGTTGGGATTGAAAATAAGTGACACCACTTTTTTCTGTTAAATGTTTTATGACTACATTCTTGAGCAAACAGAATGCAAGATGGTTATACAAATGTTGCGGCATGTTGAGATATGTAAGGCATATTTTTAAATGTACCTATTCCGCACCTTCTTTAAAAATTTTCTATCTGCATAAGTTTAGGCATAACAAGAGCTCTTTGAATCAGTGAAGATATTTCTAATTCACAGGCCAGTGTTTTCACTCTTAAGTTTCATGGACAAAACTAATTCATCAAAACTGAATAATACTTTTTTACTCTATTTTTAGAGGTCCAAGCATTTGGAAGCTTCTGTTTTCTGTCACATTTTGATCTTAAGTCATGTTGGCTAGAAAAGGTCACATTTGGCAAGTCTCATGGTATTTCTTTTTTGCTGTTGTCTGATCATTCCCCAGGTGATTGGAATGATTGGAAGAAACAATTTCATCTGTTTTCTCAAGGCCCCTCAACATTAGGAAATTGACCTTTTGTTGAAGACATTTGTAAGAAATGGGTCCCTTGACTAAAAAGTCATGTCTCAACAATTGATTCTGTAATGGTGCACTTTGGTCAGTTTATACTAACAACTGAACTATTTTACGTGCTATTTTAGGGGTACCAGATGCTAACACGCATGCCTGAAAATGACACTGTTTCTTAGTGTGAAAAGATGCAGAGAAAAGATGAATTTATGTTGAGCTGTCTCAGGCCCTGCCTGTGTTTACCAGGGACTGATGCTGCCATTATCAATGCATCAAGGGTCAATTTAATGGTTATATCCACTAAATTTTCTGAAGAGCACTCTCTGGTTGACTCTGGCACTCCATCAGAGGAGAGCCATACAGTAAGTCCATGGGTGAGACTCCCATTGACTCAGCACAGTGTATATACCACTGTCAGTTGACCTAAGCTTTGTCAATACCAGCTACATTATTCACATAGGCTTACATTGGTAATGTAGACAAGGCTTTACTTAGCTAGAATAGAATGGGTGTGGGTGTTTATTTTTTGTTTTATCCTAGTCTCTGATTCTTCAGGGGGCAGTGGCTTAAGATAACATGTTTTCTTCTCAGTCCCATCAGTTAGTAGAAACCATCTGCATTTTTATTTAGCCTCATTAATGTAAAGGTCAGTCGCACTTGAGTAGCACTTTGCAATTGCACCAGGTGTGCACCAGCATTCCCTGTAAGCTGTGTACTTGTGCGGCCACTTGGGAGAGATTCAAATGCCACCCAGCTCATTAGCAGAGTACCCACAGTTAGGGGTTTTTTGTTTTTGTTTCTATTGATGGTATACATTTACACATGCCGCAGTGCAAATAAAATTTATTCCACACGTGGCTGGAAAAAAGTTAAAGGGAACATTGATGTGCATACATGTACCTATTTGGGATCATCTTGTTTAGAAAATCTTATTCCAGTAAGACCCATTAATAGCATGATGTTAACTGACTTATGGTCTAAC